AAGAAAAGATGGGACTAAAGGGTTGTGGGTTGAGATAAGGACAGGAAGATCAGCAATTACTGTCACGGGGAAAAACAGACTCAACTTGGGGAAATTAATTTATTGCCAGTTAACAGTGGAGTAGGGTAATGAGAAATAAATCTAAAGACACCTTTCTGCCACCCTTCCCTTCTTTCTGGGCTCAACTTCACTCTCAGCAGCATCACACATTGTCTCTGCTGCTTCTTCCTCTTCATGCTCTTCCCCTGCTTGAGCAGCTCCTTCACAAACTTTTCCAGCCTGGCTCCTTTGCACGGGCTGCAGCTTTTCACAGACTGCTCCAGCATGGCCCTTTCCAAGGGGCACAGTCCTTCAGGAGCAGACTGCTCCAGCATGGGTCCCCACATGGCCACAGGTCCTGCCAGAAAACCTGTTCCAGTCTGGGCTCCTCTCTATGGGGGCACATCCACCTGCTCCGACGTGCGGCCCTCCACGGGCTGCAGGTGGCTGGCAGCCCCACCATGGAGCTCCACAGGCTGCCGAGGAGGCTTTGCTCTGGCTCCTGAAGCACCTCCTCCTCCTCCTTCGCTGACCTTGATGTCTGCATAGTTTCACATATTCTCCTCTCTCCCAGTTGCTGATTGCGCAGCAGTTTTTACCCCTTTTTAAATATGTTATTACAGAGGCACTATCAACATTACTGATTGGCTCGGCCTTGGCCAGCGGCCGATCTGTCTTGCAGCTGGGTGGAACTGTCTGTCGGATGTGGGGGAAGCTTCTGGCATCTCCTCACAGAAGCCACCCCAGTAGCCCCCCCGCTATGAAAACCTTGCCAATACAGTATATTAGTAAAAAGTAACAAAAGAGGCAGGACTGTAAAATGCCAGTTAGCTGTCGTCTCGGTTCTACTTGTACTGAGACTGAAAGCTTAGCGTGCCCGTGGGTTGATACGTTTTCAATGACAGGGAGCACAAAGGAAGACAAAGCAGTATGCAGAAAAAAACATTTTGAGGTGTCCTGTGTGCGTTTTACTTCCCCTTCATGCAAATTCTGGGGAGAGGGAGGTTCTGTAAACTTGCCTCCTAGACCTGAACTGTGCACTACCTTTTCTAGCTGCAGATAATCCAGTCCCCATAGCCTGGTGGTTGCACCTGAAAGGAGAATATAAAAAGCAGATTGGCAGGAACATAGATGGAGTGCAGTGTGTCTGAAAAAGGCTGTGCGTATACGTGAAGTAATCCAAGCTATTTACTGTCACTTGTGCATCTGGTTGATATATTGGAAATTCTCTTCAGCTCAGAGTACCTGTACCTATAGTAGTCCTGTTTCATGCCTAGGTGATGAATCCTTAATCCTGTTCTTCTCATTTCCTATTTTTAGTATTTTAAATTTTTAAACTTAATTCCTATTTTTAATTTTGAAAAAAATCTAACACTTTCTAAATTTTATTTTAAAAATACCATTCAAAAATACATACGTCAGTGTACTGATAGATGCTTCTTGCTTAGGCTGTGGCACCACAAGACAATTAGTCTAGCATCTTCAGCATGTGTAGGCATTTCTTATTGCAAGAGTCTTAAAAACTGGTGACTCCTGTGCTCTAGGTGCAAAGTTAATAAAGTTTGCTTTCTGTCACTGTTTTCTGAAAATTTCCTTGGTTCTTTGTTGCTAGCAACCACCATCCACCACAACCTTTGTGCTGAATCAAATAAATCAGCTTCCGACTTTGGGGACTACAATAGTGATGACAAAAACAACGCCTGTTACAACTACAAGGCAGACTATCACTGTAGCAAAAATCATTCAGACCAGCACAACTACTCGACCCTCGGTTGCAGCACCAGCAGTACGCAATGCCTTGACCACTACACCTTCAAAGGACCAGATTCAGCTGAAAGATCTGCTAAAGAATAATAGTCTTAATGAACTCATGAAATTGAAGCCACCTCCTAATATTGCCCAACCAGTAGCAACAGCAGCAAGTAAGTTTTCTTCTTTCTTCATAATTACAGTGTTTTAGACAAATAGCAAAATAATATAATGTGAAGATTTTTGTACATCTTGTATTTTCATTAATTAGTAGAATATCACAGTAAAATGAAATGGTCCAGAAAACCTGATAAATTCTATTCTAATTTTAGTAAGGGTTAGAATTGAGGGTGGAGTAACACAAAATAATAGGCTTTAAAAAAAACAAGCTCTTAATTTACTTCAAGGATTGAAGAAAATGACATTTTAGATTGCAGTTGGCAAACTGGTAAAATTCGTGAACATTACTGAAGTTGATTTAGCTATCTCTAGTCTACATCAGTTTCTGTTCTGCTGTATACTTGCTGTGGAACTGTGACAAATGAGTAATTTTTGGTTTTGGCATCTTCCAAATGAGACTTGTAGTACATGCTAGTACTCCTATGATAGGATATTTCTATAAAGTATTTCCTGAGAAACACAGGGACAGAGACTTTCTATTTCATGGGAGACATCAGATCTATTGTTTAAAAACTTGAGTCCTAAAAACTGGGTTTGTTTCCATGTTACTACTTAAACGTGGTGGTAACTTAAATGCCACAAGTATTTTGTTATGACACCCCAAATCTTCATTTTGTGATTCCTTTCATAATCTTCCCTTGTATGTTATTTCTAATGCGTGGACAGTTTATATGGTCAGCTTAATATAAGAGAAAAGCTGCATGTGTGTGTGGTTTTTTTTTAATGGCTTCTTTCAAGCTATTCTGGTTTTAACATGAGATAAAGATCAGACTAGTTGAGTTTGAAAATATGGGTGCTGCTTTTTCTGAAAGGTACACGTGGTTTTTCTGGATTTCTGTATTTTCATTGTGTCTGAAATAAGATTTACTGATTTTTTATATCAGTAGGTGGGGTTGGAAGTAACCTGTTTTTTCATATGCAGATAGTGTGCGATAAATGAAGCTGTCTGTTAGGACTGAAACAAAAGGAGAATGTACCTCATTGTTTCATCCCTTTCTGTTGCGGACTAGTTGATGAAAATTGAAGTTGAGACACCAGCTAAAGTTGGGGGGGGGGGTAAAAGAGTCAGGAAGAGGTGGGAGAGAAGGTTTTATAGGACTGGCTGACCCCCTTTGTGCTAAATGAATACACACAGAAGCACTGAAGTAATAGGTAACATCAGTTAATAGTAGCTGTTGTAGTAGCACAGCTGCAGAAAATAGTTGCATCTGTAGCTTCTGTATTAAGTGAAAAGGAAGCATGCAACTTTTTAGTCTAATTTGTGTGCTTGTGTTTCTGGATCTTTCTTCCTGCTTAAAAAAAAAATAAGACAAATACTTGTAGAAAATGCAAGGGCAGAGAAGCTCTTGGAAGGAAACACAGTCTTTTCATATAATTCAGGCAGCAGGAGTTCCAAATTGGAAAATACTAAAAAGTTAAATTATGCAACCTCTTTGAGGAAAACTTTGTGCAATTGTCTTAATTGTTTTGGGGGGCAACTATGCTAAATTTAATACATACATTGACTGTCAATGTGCTGGAAGCTTGACAGCTGCTTTTAATGTTTTACATCCGTCCTTGTGTAAATTATTTTAGTTCTATACTGAGCACTATTGCCAGTTGCTTCCAAACATGGCTGAGGGCAGGAAAGTTAATAAATTGTCCTCTTGAAGGATCCTATTATAAACTTTAAACAATCGAGTCCTAAGTGTTGACTTTTTGTTTTACAGAAGTAATTGTAGTTTCTCCTAAGGTGGTAAATGCCACCAGACCAGGTAAGTTCATTTCTGTTGAAACACTGAGTTTCTGGTTTGTTAAACTTCTAAGGCTCACAAGATGGAGTATTTCTAAACACTACATGTAGATTTTGTGAAGGTCCAAAATTTTATTTTTTCAATCATGCTGGAACTAATGCACAACTGTGTCAGATGCAGTGGTATTGCATGGGAAGCTTCTTCATCAACTAACAGGATTTAGCTCCTTGCTTAGAGACTTCTTAGTTTGGACAAAAAAATTTGTTCTTGAAGCATCAGTGTACTACTGGACATTTTGAACTTTTCTCCCAGCTCATTAATAGAGAAGGATGTTAATTTGAGTTGATGTTTGGAGGGAATTCCTGTAAAACACAGCTCTTCTTTTGTAGCTGATCTAAGCAATGGTGCAGTGAAGAAGGAGGCTTCTACAAAAGAGGTAGCAAGAATATGGATAAATGACATTAAAATGAGAAGTTTTTCACCTACTATGGTAAGTAGTGCAAATGGTTAATTTGCTAAATGAATGCATGTTTTATTGGCCACAACCACCTGTGACTAGTTTCAGTAGTTACTCATCTGTGCCTTTTGTGTGGTAGAACTATCTAGTGCATCTGTTCAAAAGGTTAGTTTCTCCACTAGATGAATACTTGGTTAGATGACTAAAACTGACAGCTGGGTAGAGCAGACTTGCCTCTATAGTAAGTGACAATTTCAAGAAATTACTGTCCTTAACCTTTCTGTGTGGACAGAGAAGGGTGTTCTCCAGTTAAGGCTGATGAGCATATCGCTTGCTCTGTGTTTTTAAGGTATTTTCTTTTAAAATATCCCCATTTGTCTAACTAGCAATGAGGAAACCAGAAGACTTTTTCTGGCATGGCTGGCCTGGGCAGTGTGATTTAAGATGTAAATCTAGTATCGTTCAATTTTCTAAATGTAATAAAAATACATTCTGATGCTGTAAGCCCTTGAGTTTCAGCATCTTCACGGATGGCTAGAATCAGGCTGAAGTTTGTGATGAACACCGCTTCTTAGCGACGGGCATACAGAAGGATTTTCAGATGACTTTTTTTAATATTAAACAGTAATTGTGTAAGACTTTTTGTCATCTAGCGAGTACTTTAAAAATATTCATATATTTACACTGATAGAGATCACAGTTAAAAAAAAATGGATAACTGTCAGGTTTCAGAGAATGCTGGATAGAACTGTGACTATTGTAACTATTCCCCGAAGTTGTGAAATTACGTAATGGATGTGAAACTGCAGGAGGCTTCATGGGAGTACTTGAAAGTCGGGTTTTGGCTGTTAACTAGCTGTTGCGTTTTCAAGGCAGTTTTCTTTAAGTCTTAGTTTGGATTTAACATGCTGTAAGAAGTTTCTTTTTAAATTCTGCTTATATGAGTTTGGAGTGCTTGAATCTCCTTGGAAAGGAAAGGAAGTTCCCTGGCTTTGGGTCTTTTAAGGGTGGTTCAGAGTTTAAAAAAAAACCTACGTTGCTGTCTAGTTTTCCTAGCTGCTCACTAGTTTGTCTAGTACATGTGTTAGAACATTGAAGGGCAAGTTTGCTTGTGTTAATTTCTAGTATGTAGAGTATTAACAATTTGCTGTTTGACTAATGCAGATATTTCTCTATTCTAGAAAGTGCCAGCAGTGAAAGAGGAGGAGGAACCTGAGGAGGAAGATGAAGAAGAAATGGGCCATGCAGAAACTTACGCTGAGTATATGCCAATAAAGTGTACGACCTAATGTTTTGTTATGTCAAAAGGCTGAAATGTTTTGAGAACGAATTTATTTATTTTCTCTTCTGTAGTTAATACCACCAAAAACCAGATAGATTACTATCTGAATCAAGTAAAAAAGGACCTGAGCTTGTGGTGGGTTTTCCTAAGGAATTTTTCCTTTCTATAATGCTTAGTTTTGGAAGGTATGTGGGTTTTTGAAATAGAAAAGGAATTCTTTAGTGTGTCTTTGAGCAGTACTTGTTTCAGGAATATGATTGATGAACCAAGATGAGGATTTTTTTTACTTGTATTAAGACACTTCGTGCCTCAGCAGAGGAAATTTTGTAAAGGGATTAAGGGGTCACTTAAGAATCTAGTTTAAGTCTTGGTGTGAAATTACCCTAAGCACATTCTTCCTGCATTGTTCCTGACTACTTAGAGCTGGCTTGGTTTTGTTGTGGCTTTCGTTTTGTTTTTGTTTTTTTTTCTAAAAAGTGAATCTTACTGCTGTTAATTGCCATCTCCTCTTTTATTTTTCCTTTCTCTTTTTTGTAATTAGTGATGAAAAGCTGTTGTCTTCTTTCCTAGGTACATTGCTGACCTGCTGTAAAAGCAAAGCAAAAAATTGTGTGGAGTTTGTAGCTAAATGGTTAATTTTTATTGTCACTGATGAGATCTGTCAGCAATTAAACCGTGTCTGTTCTAAATCTTTTCTCCTCTCATACTGCTTAAAAACAGCACTGTATAAATAGTGAGAAGAATGTTGCTTTTGTGATTCTGGCATCTTGAGGCTCCCTCTGGCCTTTTGGGAAGGCAAGGTTCAGACCAGTTTTTCTCAAACATGTCAAGTACACAAATATTTGTTTTCTATGAACTGAATTTTAGCTAATTTCATAAAAATTGGGGGAAGGTGGTGAGAAGAGGAAGTAAAGATTGCAGTGACATAAATTCAGGTTAATGTATTCCTTTGTATGCAGTGAATTTAACACTTCATGTACCGTTGCAATGAAACTTGTTCTTGTGTTCAGCCTTTGTAACAGACAGTTGTAACTTGTTTGGTAAATATAATAACCTGTGCTGCAGCAACAGAACTCTCTATTATGTTTTCTTCTTCCCCTTCCTCCCCCTCCTTTTTCAACCAGTAAAAATTGGTCTACGTCATCCTGACCCCGTAGTGGAAACCAGCTCGTTATCTAGTGTAACTCCTCCTGATGTGTGGTACCAGACATCAATATCAGAAGAAACAATTGATAGTGGCTGGTTGTCAGCTTTGCAACTTGAAGCAATTACTTATGCAGCCCAGGTATGCTAGACATTAGTACAGCTTAAAAGCTACCATAGAACTTAAGAACTATCATCTGACAAATGCAGCTATGTTGGTTTTACAAGGAGATAAAATAAGAGCTTAAAGGTTTGGGTTGTATTAGCAGGTGGCAGGTGAGCTTCAGCTCAAATAAATATGAGGTAATACACCTAGAAAAGCTTTGTCTGAACCACTTCCATGATGCTGATCCGAAACTGTCTTAAAGCTCAGGAAGGACATCTTAGTTGTCATTTTTATTTTTCTGGAGTAACTTCATGACTGCAGTAGCCACAGGCTAAGAAAGCCAACACACTGATATCATTGGGAAGGGTATAGAGGACAAGACTGGGTGTTGTTTTGCCACTATATTAAACCTCAGTGGGCCCATATCAGATGTGCATGCTGGTCTCTGTGTGTCAGGGAGGAAGGTAGTGAAGTTAGAGGACAACTAAAATGGTCACAGGAGGGAAGAAGTTGCCCAGTGAGAAGAGACTAACAAGGCTAGGGCACCTTGGGCTGGAGAGGAGCAAAATGAAGGGGAGTAAAACAAGGTTTATGTAATCAAGAAGGCAGTGGAATTCCACAAAACAAGAACAAAGCAGAATTTGGTGAAACTGATAGGAGATTGGTTTAAAATGGATAGTAGAATACTTCTATACACAGGCAGGGGATGTTTGGGTTATAATGCCATAAAAGGCTGTGGAGGTGCATATCATTGGGTTAAAAAATGCAGCCAGCCTGGTAGTAGGCACTGAAAGAATTAGACACGTACAGGCATTTTTACAGCAGTTTTAGGTGCTGTGGGGAGAATGGATCCCACAAAGCAGTTAGGGTCATATGCTCTTGCTAAGTAAAATCCCCTCTTCCTGCTGTCAGGAGACTGCTTGGGTGGGTGGACTACTGGTCTCATCCAGTAGGATGTTTCTTAGGTTTGCTCATTTCTGACAATCCACAGTGATGTGTTCTGGAGAACGGGTACAAGTTTTTGTTCTTTCTCCTACAGCAACACGAAACATTCCTGCCCAATGGAGACAGAGCTGGATTCTTGATAGGTGATGGTGCTGGTGTAGGAAAAGGAAGGACCATAGCTGGAATAATCTATGAAAATTACTTGTTAGGCAGAAAAAGAGCAGTCTGGTAAGTGTCAGGATTTGTTAGAGCAGACACTGTAATGATGATAGTACTTAAATTCAGTGTAATCTGTCTTCTGACAAATGTTCTAGCAACTGCTTTTTGAACTTCTGCCGTAACTTACAGAATATGTGCTTTGTTTTACATCTTCAGGTTTAGCGTGTCAAATGATCTGAAATACGATGCTGAAAGAGATTTGAGAGATATTGGAGCAAAAAACATATTGGTTCATTCATTAAACAAGGTGTGGAAACTTTTTACTATGTACAATTGAGGCAAAACTTTAGGTACGCTTGTGTGACAAGTTGTGCATGTTGACTGTTTTAAGACTGAGAATGTACTAATTTCAATAAATTTGCTGTTTAGGTCTTGTTTGACAGGCCTTAATCTTAGGAAGAACCACACAGTACTTTAATCATGTAAATAGTCCCCTTGTAGGATTAAGTCTTGGCATGTGATTTTTTTTTTTTTTTAAATACTACTCTTGAAGCCACTACTGACACTACTATTTTCTAGAAGTTGAAATATTCTTTAAATCTTTTAGACTTTGTAGCATTAAAATTTTTTCCTTTCTATCTCCCAGCACACATTTTATATGTAATACATTTTGTATGTAATACTGAAATAATAGACTTTCTCAGTAATTTATTAAAGCAGCAGTAGCATATGCAGTTATTTTTGGAGACTGTGCCTCTGCTCAGGATTAGCTACTTACATAAATTGTGAAGTGTGATTACTGGTTGAATTCACTGAACTTAGTTTGTTTTAAATTAGGATTTTTGCTTTGTGTAGTCGTAATTTCTAAAATACAGTAAAGCTTCAGAAATTGTCAAGTGTATTTATAGCTGCTACCATAAATGACCTGTTAGCTCTAGGGGATGCATTGAAGCTAAAATCTTAATTGTATTTAAGGTAATGAAACCATATAGTCCAAAGAATGTGGCTGTTAAGCTTTTGAGGCCTCAGATCTAGTCTTCCTTAAGTATATACTTAAGTAAGGCTCTGTATAACCCCTTAACCACGTTACCTTACGCCAACTATGCCCCAACCGTGGTGTAGGGATACAGGTGGTTCAAAGCACCCAGCATCCTTTAATCATACGGTAGGTGGGTTTGAGAAGGCATCTCTTGAATAAGTTCTGTAATTTCTTACCTTTTTATTGCAGTTCAAGTATGGGAAGATTTCTTCCAAACATAACGGAAGTGTGAAGAAAGGTGTCATCTTTGCTACCTATTCTTCTCTTATTGGTGAAAGTCAGTCTGGTGGTAAATACAAAACCAGATTAAAGCAGCTTCTTCACTGGTGTGGTGAAGACTTCGATGGAGTTGTATCCTTTATCTGGAGTTCAGTTGATTGTAAATAAAGTGCTATTTAAGCTTACATCTTTAAAGACAATCTTGGGGGTTTATTTGCTGATATTTTTAGGTATTGTTCTTTATCCATGACAGTAATTGATTGTGTGCATGCTCTGACATTAGACTTGAAGTTTTACAGACTTCGTGCCAGATCTGTTGCCATCATATTGTTGCCATACAGCTCTGGTACAAGAGTGAAGCTGCTGCTTTTTCTGTAATGAGCAGATAAAATTAAAATACAATGTTTAAGAACCTTAAGTTTACGCTGAAATTTTCTCCAGTGAATTCATAAAAAAAAAAATGAGTATCAACAGCATTTCAAATATCTCAAGTGTTGGTTAATTGTGCTTTTAAATACTTACTGGCTCATTATTTGTCCCAGAGTTTTTAGTGAAAAATTACTAGTGTGTTTGAGTTTAAGATTTGATGCTGCCACCTATTGTAATTAGTGACTTTCTGGTCTTCTGTTTTAGCTCCCCATTCTAAAAATAAGCGGGACAAAGTTCTTCCTTAATTACGGTTCAGATTGTATTTGATGAGTGTCATAAAGCTAAGAATCTGTGTCCTGTTGGTTCATCAAAACCAACAAAAACAGGTCTGGCTGTATTGGAACTTCAGAATAAACTTCCAAAAGCCAGGGTTGTTTATGCTAGTGCCACAGGTATGTACTGCTTGGTTTGCATTAAATGTCCCTGTGTTTTTACTGGCACTGGTACAGAGTGTGTTCTTCTCCTAGGTGCATCTGAGCCAAGAAATATGGCATATATGAACCGTCTTGGAATATGGGGTGAAGGAACTCCGTTTAGGGAATTCAGTGATTTTATTCAGGCTGTTGAAAGAAGGTAATATTTTGAAGAGCTATAGCAACAATCTATAAGGTTGTGGTTGACTGTGCTTTTCAGTTCCTTTTGTCTTCACTCACTCATAGTCCTCTGCAAACTTGTCCTGCAAGTGAAGAACTTTTTGACTCTAGCAGAAATGTGTAATTTACCTTCTGTCATAAAAAGAAAAGGGATGTTTTCCTTGCTCACAGAAAGTTTTATAGAGCTTTAGAGGCTTGCTGGGAAAATAGCCCTCTTAAAATGTGGGTGTTAGGAAATGAAAACATTTTGATACTTGCCATGAAAACACACTGTATGTACTAAGTATGATCCATATAGTTGATGTCTCACTATATGCAGAAGCTTTCTAATGTTTATGCATTCAGCTTAGGCAGTTTAACAGGAAGAAGTCATGTTCTTATGCTTTCTGGCATAAGAACCCAGTTCAGAAAACTTAAGTATGCTTTTGCAAGTCACTTTGGATTTCAGAACTTACTTTAAAAAAAAAAGTGGTCAGTAGAAGCTGCAACTGCTACATTCTTTGGTAGGTGAGCATCTTAATATATTATGTTTTGCCTACTTAAAAAGAATTTTGAACAGTTCAGAACGCTACAGTAGGGCTTAGTATGCATCTTCTTGCATACCATCTACATGATGCATGATTTTTGCAGACTCTGGAAGTGTAGCCTCCACTTCATTACTGAGTACGTATCAAATGAGCAGTAATGAAATTACAGGCCCAAGCTTGTGAGTAGGTGAGCTCTGCACTTGACTTCTCAAGGTATTGCTAAAGGTGTGTTGCTGTTGAAGAGAACTTAAGTTACCTACTAAATTAATTTCATACTGGCATAAATCTGAATAGCTTACTACAGTTTGTGTTCACTATTTTAAGTCTGCAGTGGCGTTTATGAAATTTCAGCACAAGATTTTATGATCTATTTGGACCAACTTCATTATCCAATTATAGTTTGTAAGGCAGTGTCTCCTAGTGCATGGTAGGTCATTCAGGAATAAGTAACTATCTGAGTGTTTATACTTCTTAGGATACACTTAACACTCATGAGGCAGGGATACAGTTTTATGTGAAGGCTAAATTTCAAGACTCCTTGATTGGATGTGTTTAAAGAAACAGTGCTGATTTTGAAAACATATTCCTTCATATTTGTAAGCATGCTATTTTCTTCTAAAGCATTTGAGGGGTTTTTTTTTAACAATTCATTGCTCTTGAAAATTCTAATATTGACTTAATTTTGTCCTTTATTTTAGAGGTGTTGGTGCCATGGAAATAGTTGCTATGGATATGAAGCTGAGAGGAATGTACATAGCAAGACAGTTGAGTTTTTCAGGTGTAACTTTCAAAATTGATGAAGTTCTGCTTTCACAAGAATATGTTAAAATGTACAATAAATCTGTGAAACTGGTAAGAATGCCCTTTTAAATTTGCTTTCTATATTGAATTCTGAGAGGTTGAAGTTACTTGGTTTAAACTTGAATGCTCCTGAAGTAGCATGTTGAGAGACAGGAATGGCGTTTTCTTGTTTCATCCTAGTGGAAAGATTTCTCCATTTAAGTCTTGACCAAAAGCTGTTAATTCTTGTTCTGAGTCATAAAAATCGTAATTTTGGGTGCATCTTTCAGTATCTTGCCGGAACCACTGTCTTTTAGCAGTATTTCAGAGACCTTGGTCACTGTTCCCTAAGACAAAGCTGTTCACCTGTTGGTGATATTTCTGTGTTCCAGTCCTCCCCCTTTAGGCAACTGAGCTGAAAACAAGCTGCAAAACATTAGACCTGCTGCATGCTCTTCATCCCAGCTGTGTGGTGGAGTGGTGCTAGCAGCTAAACAGGGCAGGGTGATAGTTTTAATCACCTGGCAGATCAAATCTAAAGCCTCAATGCTATGGTTCCCTTTAACTTTTTCATTTAATCACTCACTGGTTTTCTTTTTCATGTTGTTATTAGTTGTTTCGTCTCTGTGTCAGTCTTTTGCTGAGTGCACCTTCTGCTCTGTTACCACTGCTGTATTAGATTCAAATTATTCCTTTGACATAGGTTAAAGTGACCAGGGTCTTTACCTGCTTAAGCATGACTATTCATGTTCTATAGCTACAATAATTACAATTTATCTTTGACAGGTGTATAACGTCAACTTTAAACCAGCACTTTTCTTCATGAATGTTGTTTAAACAAATCACTGAAAGTGACACAAGTGTCCATTTAGGTGTTCAAAGCTTACTTTACTGAATCTGGAAACAATTGATCTGACAAAATGTTGCAGAAATGAGGGCAGTGGGGTTTTTCTCTTTTTGGGGATCTTGCTTTATACTTAGTTATGGGCAGTGCTCTTTGCTTTCTTAACCTGAATGTATTAATGGAGAAACTAGATAATCAGAAAATACTGTATGCGTTTGCACTGGTAGTAAGGTAAATGTATCTGTTTTTCATTATGAGAGTAATTATCTTATGAATTCCTTAAGCCATAGCTATTTTGTTTTTGTGAGCTTTGTTTGATGTATGATGAGTTTCCCTGACTTGGAGTCCCATAGTACTGTAACTTTACACTTCTCTCATTATTTGGACATTAAACAGTGTACTTGTGTAGCCTTGAAATGTGACATGTAAAGCAATTAACGTTTTCTTCTTCAGTGGGTGAGTGCTAGAGAGAGGTTTCAACAAGCAGCTGATCTTATTGATGCAGAACAACGAATGAAAAAGTCTATGTGGGGTCAGTTTTGGTCAGCTCATCAGAGGTTTTTCAAGTACCTTTGCATAGCATCTAAAGTGAAGAGGGTGGTCCAGCTGGCTCGGGAAGAAATCAAGAATGGGAAAGTAAGTTGATCAAGACCTATTTTAAAATATCTGTTAAATGTAGAGCTATTTTACTTTTGTTTATAATACAAATATCTTCAGATGTAGTAGTAGTAGCAGCATGTTTTTGTACTTTATGGCGTTGAAGGTATTTAATGAGTAGAAATTCAGCCAAACAGAGACTTACAAGTCAAGTCTTAGTAACAATGCCTTGTATTCATTTGTCCTTTAGTGTGTTGTTATTGGCCTGCAGTCAACAGGAGAAGCAAGAACATTAGAAGCTTTGGAGGAAGGTGGTGGTGAACTAAATGACTTTGTTTCTACAGCAAAGTAAGACTCCAGTTTGTTAGAACTGTCCTTTACAAAGCTAATCCAGTTTAGCGTGTGTAGTAGTTTGTCCTTTCATGTGTAAAATGTGCATCAGTGCAGAGAAAGGTGGGTATCCTTTAGTACTGGTTCTTTACTTAAGCTGCCTGTACATAAAATTGTGACAGTATTGCTCAAGTGAACCATTGGTTAGTTCCTAGTTCTGCTGGCACTCTTGAGATTGTTCTCAGGTGTGAACAGCTCAGGCTGTTCTACTCAAACTGGGAGGAGGGGAAGACTTGCCAAGCATACACTGCATTTATACCAAAGCAAGTTACAATCATGACTTCCCTCTTTGAGCAGATGAGCCAGGTCCAATCCTGAGAGTACCTTGCTGAAGATCTTAATAAATTAGCTAATCTGTCATTTAAGCTCTGAGCAATAAGAAAATGGCAGTAGCAATATTGCTTGATACCAAAACCAAATTTAACAAGTGATAAGTAACTGTGCTGTAAAGTAAATGTCTCCTACTTTGAAGATGACAAATACAGTAATATGGGTGATAATTCCAGAGAGTGCTCCTGTAATAGCATTCACAAGGAATAATTCTTCAGAGAAGTCAAGCAAGCTGTTAAAATGTTACAGGTTTTTACTTTAAATAAATGCAAATTTGACTGAAGAAACCTTTTTTTCTTACACAGAGGAGTATTCCAGTCTCTTATTGAAAAGCACTTTCCAGCTCCTGACAGGAAGAAGCTGTTTAGCTTGTTGGGAATTGACTTGACTGCTCAAAGTAATAACAATTCACCCAGAGACAGCCCTTGCAAGGAGAACAAAATAAAGAAACGGAAAGGTAATGCTTAAGTTCTTACACTAATGTTGTAGTGAAAATGGCAGTGTTAGAGCTGTCTAAAAGTGAACTCTGGAAAAAATATGGGAAGATAACTACCAGCACAGTCACTCATGAAAGAGCATGTATTATAAGTATCTGAGACTTTTGTTAGAAATTTCCATTAACAGATTTTTTTAAACTGCTGCTGAAGCAATATAACCTGTAAATTCTGGTTATTACTTTGCTCAAAATTGTGTTGTTCTAGTATGAGACCATATGCCAAAATCTGCGTGTCAGACCACTTCCTGATGCAGTCACACAAATAATTGCTGCCTTTTCCTTGAGGTTCAGTAAAGAGAAGCCTAATATCCCCCCCACTTCCCAAACTGATAGTTATTCTTACCAAAAAGTAGGTGATCATAAAGAACGAGAGAGAGAGAGAGAGGTCTCACTTAAAACTTAGATTTGATTCTTTTAAACGGTTCTATTTTTAAAAGTTTTTCTAGTTTGTATGCAGTGGTGGTAAAACAAACCTCAAAAGTAGACTACAAGCTCTAAACTTAACTTTTTTTTTTCTTCTGGGGTGACGGTGGTGATTAAATTAGGTGAAGAAATAAGCAGAGAAGCCAAAAAAGCTCGCAAAACAGGTGGCCTTGCAGGTAGCAGCTCTGATGAGAGTGAAAGTGAGTCTGATGCTTCGGACAATGAAGAAAGCGACAATGAGAGCTCCAGATTTTTGAGTTCTGGAGATGATGATGACTTCAACCCATTCAGAGATGAATCCAGTGAGGATGATGAAGATGGTAAGACAGTTTGTGCTCCATTAAGCAAGTAGCTGTACTTGCAGATAATAAGCATAAAGTCTTTCCCAACTACTTCAATGAGCCAAAAATAGTGTTTGATAAGCATGTAGTTTAATTCTAATGAGACTGGATTTAGTACTAGAATGTTGATTTGCATCTTCAAGTAGATTTTACACGCTGGGGTTCAGACTTTTGTAAGTCACGTTTTGAAATGGGAAAGCAGCTTTTCAAAGGAAGGATGACTTTTTAGCAAATGCTTGAAACTTTTTGAAAATAATTTTATTTAAATTTAGATCCCTGGTTAATTAGAAAAGAGCATAAAAAAAATAAAGACAAGAAAAAGAAGAAAAGTATAGACCCGGATTCTATTCAAAGTGCCTTACTAGCTTCTGGTCTCGGGTCAAAACGACCTAGCTGTTTCACTTCCACTGTTGGTACCACCACTTCTAGTACCAACACGTCAGGTAAGAATAAGTTTCTTTGACGTTGATTCACCTTCTTAGCAATTAGGCATTGAAATTCTAAATCTTAAAGAGTTTCCTCTTAAATTTCAGCAAACAGTAACACAAACAGCAGCTTTGTAACAAGTCAGGATGCAGTTGAAAGGGCGCAACAAATGAAAAAAGAACTGCTTGATAAACTGGAAAAACTGGCTGAAGATCTCCCACCTAATACACTGGATGAGCTTATAGATGAACTGGGTGGTCCTGAAAATGTTGCAGAGGTAGGCTCTTCACACTTAGGGGGGAAAAAAAAAGTGGTGTTCTAATGCTGCCGTACATTGGCTGCAGTAAATTAGTGTTGTCTTTCTGGAAGGTTGCATGTGGCCTACATATTTATTACAGGTAATTTATTTTAGACAGTAATCTCAGAGATAAGAGTATAGGTTACTTTGAACCCTTCTAAAGAGAAGCTTGAAGATTGTATTTGAATATAGAGAAGAGCTCTGAGTGGGTAAATAGGTTGTTTCTGAGACCTGATAGTTTCTTGCTGAGTAAAATCATACTAGCTTCTCTTCTGCTTTATAGTGGTATATTTCTCTAACTGTAGTCAATTTGAAGCTGATGTATATAAAACAGAAAGCAGCTTTAGCTTGTCTTTGTAGGCAGTGAAGATTAAGAACCTGTATAATAAAACTGCATTAGTAAAAAGCATGATGAATTATTATCTCTTCTTCTCAAACTTTTGAAATACGTCTTTAGCAAGCTACCTGTCTGTATCAAGTAGATAGATCCTTGTGATTTAAAAGACCCTGTTAAAATCAGTGACAATCTCAGCTGTCAATTTAGTTTATTTTCTTAGTACTCTCAGTAAATCCCTTATGGACAGTAGTACAATACTGCCTCATTTCTACATAGATATGCCTGAATAAGTGTTCCACATAGCAGATAATGGCATCAACCAAAAAACAATGCAGGTTCTCTAATGTAGTTTTGCACTTGGAGTAAATTACCAGATCTATTTTAAGGTGTATGAATAAATAGCATCATTGCTTGAAGTTTTTTGGTCACGTAATAATTTTGGTATTGCCATAATGAGCTTGTGTTCCCTTTTATTTTTAAAGATGACAGGCCGCAAGGGGAGAGTTGTTAGCAATGATGATGGCAGCATATCTTATGAGTCAAGATCTGAACTTGATGTGCCTGTTGAAATTCTGAACATCACGGAGAAGCAGAGGTTCATGGATGGAGATAAGGTATTCCTTAGAGACACAGTTTAGAAAAACTTGCCAGATGCTGTAGTAACTCTGTTATTCAAGTTGTGGCTCGGCCATTATCCCACAGTGACTTTTTAGGTACTATAAGTACGAGTTAGAAAGGATTTTCTATTCACTGCTGTGTGTTTTGTTGTTCAAACCAGTATGCTCAGTAGTCCTATCTAATATGCAGCTGTGGCATGCTTTAAAGGTCAGGCTGTAGTTTGGGTGGCCACGGAAGCCGGTGCTTAAGAGGTGTGTACATGTCTGTCAAACTGAAGCTAGTATCTTCAAGTTGGTCTTGTAAAACAGCATATTTTTAAAAGGCAGTTAAACCCTCCACATCTTTGATTTCTTTATCTGGAGTACTGTGTACCTCTGCTTCCAAGAGGATATAATGAAATTGAGAAAGGGGGGGAAAGCGCTGATTGACTTGGTATGAAAAAAGTTTCAGTGAGGGGCTGAAGGGAAAAGGAGGAGGTTGTTTAACAAGGGTTGAGAAATAATGCTGGGAAGAGTTACAGATTTTGTCCTTTATTTTGTACTCTGAAAAAAAAATACTGACTGGAATAATGGTAGAATTGAAGCTGATAAAAGGAGGAAAAAACCCAACTTTCCTATGGTTCATTTGGGACATGCTGCCACAAGAGGGCAAATCAAGTCAGTGTAGCCCTTGTGTGGAACTTCTATGGTCTGTCCTTACACTTGGCGGTAAATACTCATGTTCTGTGACTTGCACACAATCCAAACATTTACATTCTTTCAAGGCAAACGTGTTCAGATACTAGAATGGCCATATCCTCTTCCTTATACAGTATTAGCAGCAGTTTTTTGTCTCCTCCGTGTTGCTTGCTGTCAGAGCCAGTCTCCCTGTGTCCCTCCCCTGTTTTTTCTGAAGTGCAGGCCAACATCAGAGAAACCTGCCCTCTGGAATGACAGGACTGCATCATACTGCCTTTCTTCATTTGCACAGAAAGGTGGTGTTGAAAAGTAAAGGAAAAACCACTCCTTTCACTTAAGTCTTTAGCATGTCTAACTGATAGGAGACCCGTATGTTTTCTCCCCTCCCCCTCTCCTTAAGATAGGAAGACTAAATAAGAGTGAAACCATTCCAGACCCACGTTAGCAGTAACTGTAAAATTAAGGGGTTTTTTAGAAACTGAAAACTGAAGTTTGATCTTGGATTTATTGCTAACTAACAACTCCTTTCTTAATGAAAGAACATTGCCATAATCTCGGAGGCTGCCAGCTCTGGTATATCATTGCAAGCAGACCGTAGAGCTAAGAATCAGAGACGGAGAGTTCACATGACCCTGGAGCTGCCATGGAGTGCAGACAGAGCAATACAGCAGTTTGGTAAATAACTTTTTTTTTTTGTATCCTTCCCTAGCAAACTCAGTAATACCAACTGAATTTACTGCTAATTAATGGAAAAGAATGTTGACTAAGCAACCTCTGAAGGACCCTTCCTGTCTCCTTTACCAGTGAACAGACTCAGCTTTATGTGTAGTCATAACTAATAGTCTTGAAAGTTTTGAAAGAAACCTAGCAGACAAACTTAGACTGCAGCTTAGGGTTTTTTCATGTATCAAGTGTCTACAAAAGTTGACACAACTCTAGAGTACTACCTTCTCGTGGCTGTATTACAGCAGAAACTAATTTTCAGTAGGTTAAAGTCCTAGCCTTTTTTCTGTACTCTTCACAACTCATAGTTCTAGAATATTCAATGAAGTGGAATTTGTTTAACATATGTGCTTCTACTTAATTATCCAGGAAGAACTCATAGATCCAACCAAGTGACTGCTCCAGAGTACGTGTTCCTGATTTCTGAACTGGCAGGAGAGCAAAGATTTGCATCTATAGTTGCAAAAAGACTGGAGAGCTTGGTAAGATTGTTTCAAGAAGTCTGATCCTTCATTTGAGAAAATACAGCTTAGATTTCTTTTGAGAAAATTTGATTTAATTACAAAGGTGTGTCTTAACAGGGAGCCCTCACCCATGGTGACAGACGGGCTACAGAAACTCGAGACCTCAGCAGATTCAATTTTGACAACAAGGTGACGGTTCTATTTCTGTTGGAAAGCTCGTGCTGTGGTGCTTATTCCACAAATGACCTGTGGAGGAAGGATTTTTTTCCATCTCCTGTGATGTGTTTTACTTCTGTGTTACTTTCTGATAGGAGGCCTCTTTCTGAGATAACCAGTAAATGTTCTTAATTCTGTTTGCAAAGCCACGTGGAACACAAATACATGTGTAAATTACTTTTCTGCAATTGAGTACAATAAGTAAATGGTATGTGTTCTTTCAGTCACAACTGAAAGATTAATTTGGCAATTTAATTGGAAATTAAGACTGGGCTATTTATGTAGTGTAGTTCATAATTGAAAAGCTAATAACCAGTTCCTCTTACTACTGCAGGGAAAAGCGTTTTATTTTGAATTACAAATACATATTAAACCATGTGTGCTTGGGGCTGAGGCACAAACACTGGATCACATTGTTAGAGCAGTTTTCTTTTTCTCACACAGTACGGAAGAAATGCTTTAGAGATTGTTATGAAATCCATTGTGAACTTAGACTCCCCAATGGTCTCGCCGCCTCCTGATTTTCCTGGAGACTTCTTCAAAGGTAAGTATAACTCACTGGATGTAATAGCTACCTTTTGTTCTCCAGGGTGCAGAAAAAGCAAATAATTCTAGAGCTAGAAAACATCGTTACTATTTAAACCAGTCAGCTGGCTCAGCTGGGCTCTCACTGGATGTTATTCCTATGCACATTCCTTGAATGTTGAAGTTCACGTATGAAACAAGATATGTGAACTCTCAATATAAGGCATGTTCTATATCTGCTTGGCCAAAGTATTACATACAGTTCTTTAACTTCACATTCCCGTTATCTCTTGCAATATCTTGTTCCTCTGTGGGCTCGTGTACAGTGGCATTATTAGTTTTCCCTGCCTGTGCTTCCTGGAAGGACAGAAGGCGAAGTTGTGTCTTCTGCTTACTGATGATTTAGGTAGAAATTGCAAGTAATGCATTTAAGGGATGTTAGAAGTTTTGGAATTAGATCCTGAAACAGGAATGCTAAATGTTACTTCAGTGGTTTATTTTTAGATGGCAAAGCAGCAATGATCTAACTTCTTCCTTTTTCCTAGATGTTCGTCAGGGATTGATTGGCGTAGGCTTGATAAATGTAGAAGACAGATCTGGAATACTAACGCTCGATAAAGGTATTTGTGTGTTTAGTGTATCTTTAGAATGTCACTAGGAATATCATATATCATGATAGTGGATTCCTAGCAACAGAACTGACAGTGTAACTAAAAAATGACTTTTTTGGAGAACTTCAGACTGGTTTCCTCATTTCTGAAAGAACTGATTTAAGCAGTCTTTTTTTGAGACTCTTTGAATACTGATTGAGAGCTTGTCATCAAACAATCATTGACCTAATACATATATTTCTTATTCTTTTTGAAGATTATAACAATATAGGAAAATTTCTGAATAGAATTCTTGGTATGGAAGTACATCAGCAGAATGCTCTATTCCAGTACTTTTCTGACACGTTAAATGCGGTTATTCAAAATGCTAAAAAGAATGGAAGATATGATATGGGCATCTTAGGTGAGTAAATCAGTTTCTCAGTACTCGTGTACTTAAGAACAGAGAAACAGAATAACTCTATACTTCCCTTTTTTTTTTAAGATTTGGGCTCTGGGGATGAGAAAGTAAGAAAGGCAGATGTTAAGAAGTTTTTAACTCCTGGATATTCTACCTCTGGACATGTAGAACTATACACAGTAAGTTAATTCTGTGTCGTCTTTGTATGAGCTAATAAAACTTGCTTGCCAATAAGTTTTTAAAATGTGGCAGTTAGCTTAAGCATGTGCTGAGTGAGGGGAGGTTCCAGGCCTTGCACTGGGCCATATTTAGTTCTGCAGTTCTGTAACTGATTTAAAGTCTGTTTCCACTCAAATACCCCTGCGTGGTTCTCTTCCAGATCAGTGTAGAGAGAGGAATGTCTTGGGACGAAGCAACTAAGATCTGGGCAGAACAGACAGGTCCAGATGATGGATTTTATTTATCACTACAGGTAAGATTCTTTTGTCTCCTGGATTCTGCTTGGAGAAGTGTTTTTGTGGGCTAACCAAATATGTTGTCTCCTCTGAAAAATTTACTGTTCAACTTAATTACTGTTCAGTTTTGCAAATTTTCAATCTTACATTAAAATTCACGTTGCTTGTTTCCAACGCTAAGTATGAAGCACTCCTTTAGAGCTGCTCAGGATATTTTCTGATAGGAGTGTGAGCCCAAATTATTAGCTTTTCTTTAAAGCTGCATCCAGAAGCCAGATGCTGTAAGGAAGAGTTGTGAGGTTAATGTGGATCAGTGGTATTGTCTTGTGAAGGTGTCCTTATTGCTGGGTGTCTTACTGTACACACACACACGCAGTGTTACTCTGTAAAGAACATGGTATGGAATCACTGAAGGTAGATACTGTCAGTGTATTTAAACTTAAAGTTTTGGGTTTGTCTGTCTCTTCCAGATAAGAAATAACAAGAAAACCGCTATTCTAGTAAAAGAAGTGAATCCTAAAAAGAAGCTTTTTTTAGTATACAGACCAAATACTGGGAAACAACTCAAACTAGAAACATGTGCAGACCTGAAAAAGAAATATAAGAAGGTAACCATTTTTTTAAAATTAAGCTAGTTTAAAACAAATTTAGAAAAATCTGAAATGTAAGCACTTTCTTTTTCTGGTATTTGTGTATAATTCTGGCAGTCAAAAACTAGGTGTATTTTTTCCAGAGCAGAGCTTATATTTGGGTCTTTCTAACTGGGTCTGTAAAATTTCTGCATTTCTATATCGAAAGCTTTCTGAATATAAATAATCCATGGCGTGGTAACATAAAATGAGGTTTTTTTAGGGTCTAGCAAGGAGAAGTCTTGTGTAAGGTGTACAAACCTGCTTTTAAATAAGCAGCTGTGTACAGTGTGTTCTAGCAATGATCCTGAAGCTTCAGCTGTTGGCTGATGACATTTTAAATATTCTAGTGGATTATTTTGTTGAGACACTGGTAAAATAGCTAATGGTTCTCCTCAATTTTATAGTGTTGAATTTGTAAAAACTTGAGGAAACTCTGAGATCAGGTTCATTACCAGAAAGCTCTGAGATTCTGCTGTTCCCATTACTGAGGTTGTGCTTTGTTCAAGCATTTTGCTCATCCTTTGAGGTGGCATTTCTATTGAATAACCTGAAATCATAATAATATAGGGTAATGTACCTCTCTTCACCATTCTCATGTTGGCGCTTCCTCTTTTCTCATAGTAATGACCAAATTGCTTTTGTTCTATGCAAGTCTTGATGTGTTTTACTTTGATTATTCCCACTTTGACTTTTCCAGGTACCTTCTGAAGACGCTCTGCCGCACTGGTTGGAGCAGTACAATTCTTCTGCGGATACCTGCACCCATGCTTACTGGTCAGTATTTGTATGCCCATAGATCCTTTTTAACATAAACTGTTTGCCTAAACCGGTTTATCGTTATTTCTGGTTTGCTCTTCATGTGAAATCTTGTGTTTCTTGCTTAAGAAAAATTGTCACGTGACCAGTCAAATGACCCAACCTTTGAGTGGAAACATGAAGCTTTGCACTTCCCCTTAAAGTCTTAATATATTAGATGAATGCTAATGTATAAATTGCACTCCAGTAGAAATATAATGACCTAGGAGTAGCTTGAGCTTTAAGTGTCTTAATCCTGATCTATTATTGTGGTCAGATAGTTCAGATGTTATTGGCAGGGGTGGGGAATATTTATACTTCATGCAGAGATGAGATAAATGTCACAAACAGCTGTTCTTATGCTACCTCCTCTGTGTCTGACTCAGCAGCTGATGTCTTAATTCCTGAGGAACAGCATAACTGCTAGAAGTTTCAAATTAATATTGGAGCTGCTGAAATACACTGATCATATGATCTAAATGAGTGGTATCTTTGGCTTAAAGTTCCGTCTGTACATTTTGAAGATGTGGTCCTAAATAGGCCAACACTTCTCAAAGCTTTACCACTAGAGGCCTGCTGTGGATAAAGTATCCTTCCCTTTCTGTGTACTTGCAGTCCTCACTCAGCTCTTGATACGTGTTAAATAACTTCAAGTCTCACTTTTAATTGAATGGGCTAAGTTCTGTTTGCAGAATTCTTTTGAAAGCTTTTTTTTCCTCTCTATTGTAGGAGAGGCAATTGTAAGAAGGCAGGCTTGGGATTAGTTTGTGAAGTGGGACTCCGCTGTCGAACTTACTACGTCTTGTGTGGTTCAGTATTGAGCGTCTGGACAAAAGTAGAAGGCGTTCTAGCCTCTGTGAGTGGTACAAATGTGAAAATGCAAATAGTTCGTCTAAGAACAGAAGATGGGCAGAGGATCGTAGGTAGGTGGCTTGTCTGCCTCTTTATTTCCATTTTTAAGTAGAAGGTAGTTCCGACTTTCAGGTCAGACCGTGTTGAGTCTCGTGTAGGAGACTTCTTTATAAAGATGCTTATAAAAGAAAAGGCTTTGTTGCTGTATGGGGAGGGGCAGAAGTACAACTGTTGAAATCTGCATTGACAGTACAAACACTGTTCTGAGTCAGGTTAAAGAAAGAAGACATTTTTTTTCAGCCAGGCTTTGGAACACTTACTCTGTCAGTTCTTTCAGTTTTCAAGGAACAAAACCGTCATGTTTGGCCTGTTCCAGCCAAGCTACCTTTGAAACCATAAGGGCTCATTTTTTTTTTTCCCCCGCTTCTGGCAAAGAATAGCAAGCACTTGAAATAGTTGGTTTCATGGTTTTTAGGCTACTGAAAGTCAAGTGTAATCAATAGTAAATTGACTTCAAGATGATGATGTTATTTCTTTTTGCTAAACCTCTTAGGGAAGCCCTCATGGTGGGTACCTCAGAGGCTGAAATCTCTTTCAGTTTTTTTGGTTTTGGTTTTTTTTTTAAATGTGGACTTCCTGTGGATGTGCGGTATCATGGCAGCTCTGGCTCTAGTAACAGTTTTCTAAGATGTTGAAACTATATAAGTTTTTTTCTGTATTTTAAACTTTCATGGTGGTGTAACTTCTGTGAGGTTAGAAAACAATAGCTGACTTCTGGTTTTATGTTGCAGTGGGTAACATAAGAATAATAAAACTTGTCTTTAGGGGCAGAATGGCAACTGTCTATTAATTCGTGACCTAAAGGACGTAGTGACTCCTGAAGATAAACCTTCAGAGAGAAGCAGAACTCATAGCTGTGCTTGATTAGACTTGACTCTGGGAATGGTTACTGTTGACTGTTGCATTAATTAAACGGTGGAATCGTCAGCCTGAGGTTTTAATGAACAAATCATTTCCGTGCTTACGAAACAACTGATTTGTTGCTGCTTTCAGGTTTGATCATTCCTGCAAATTGTGTATCACCCCTTGTAAACCTCCTGTCAACGTCAGACCAGTCTCAACAGCTTGCAGTACAACAGCAGCAGATCTGGCAGCAGCATCACCCGCAAAGCATCACCAACTTCAACAATGCATAAGAGGACAAACTACAGGTGTTGACTTTGGTGTTTGAGGAAAAGGCTGTAAAAGCATATCACTTGCATAAAAATCAGGGACAGATTCCAAAGAAATATAACTTTTTCAGTTCAGTTGTGTGCTCTCAAATACTTTGGGAATAAAGAGATCTAAAAAGGTTGGTAGAACTGAAAGCCAGCAGTTGTTTATTGGTGGTGCATCTGTCTTTCCTTATGCTCTCTGTAGTGCTTCCTGTTTGCTTTTACTTTTGGCCTTTTAAGCTACAAACCACAATTTGTTTGAAAATGCTTGAAAATCCCCAAGCAGGCTTTATTTTTATCTTGTCATACAGTGCTCAGGGTTTAACGCAGTGCATCAATGCCATTGCTGTGGGAGATATCCTTGAATGCATGTATTGAGTATATATATAGAAAATATATATTGGGTTTTTCTCTTCAATTTATGAGTTTATAAAAGCATGAAACCTAGAGGTTGCACATCATGCATTCAGGTTCCTTCCCAGTTTCTGTTTGACAGTGCATGTCTTTGGAAACGGGCATGGACAGGATAAACACACAAGACAGGAATTCAGAGAGAAACACAATCTTAGTTGTACAGCATTGGTTATTGCATTTTTATAGTGTTTATACCCAGGTGTTGCATTTTTTCTGGTTCTCTCCTGGGGGTTATATATTTGAGTCTACAACATGTTCTTTTTGTGATAAACATCTTAAATTAAAATTAGTTCATTTTTAATGTATTAATGGTATTCCTAATGTGTACTGCAAAGATGGCTGGATGCCTATTTTCCTTAAATTGAAGCATTTCCTTAATCCGAGGTGGTTATGGAAACTTAAGTGCAAATTCACTTCCATCTCGCATACAATCTTATATTTTTTACTTCATTAATGTAATTTAATTTGTCACTTGTAAGATGAAACCTTACTTGAGCTGTAAATTAGAGAATGGGAAACACTTGAGGGTTCTGCTGTATGTGCTGTTTCTGTTACCCAGTAACTTGAATACTGTTTAATATGTTGTAAGACATTGTAGAGTTTATCTGGAGCTGTTTAAAGAAATTGTAATGTACAAATGTGAATAGTCACTTATCTATAATATGGGTAAGTTTTGTTTTGCCTATAATAGTAGATGTTTATAAGAAAGTGAAGGACAATGTTTGTCATTTCTTGCTTGCACAGGTTGCACTATTGAAAAATTGAGATTGTATAAACCTGTCCAAAAAAACTACAAGATAATGATCTTGTAGATGTCAAATAAAAGTTATTGTACTAACAAGAAGTGGAGTCTTGTTTAGGCAATCGCTGTATTCCAAAAAAACTAACAAGTCTGTACAATTGGAATTCGACAGGACTTGGCATGTTCCAGTCTGCTTTAACCAGGCTTCTGTCTTGCAGTCCAAGTATCTCAGTTAAACTCATTAATTAATAAGGCAAGAAGTAAACTGTGTTTAAACCTTGATGCATGTTTTCAGTAGGGGTCACACCTGACAGAGCAGCGCATGTCACTTCTGTAAACACTCAGCGAGCCAGATGCAAGTGTCAGAGTTTTTCCATAAGTAACGGGGCCAGAACTTCCACAACTTCAGGCTGAAGTGAGTTCCCTTACATGAATTACTTTGCTTGAGGTTGTGTTGACGCCGCCTGCGCCAACGTGCCGGTGCGGTAACAGGGCACCTGCTTGTCAGGGGAGGGAGTCAGCCTGCTGCCCTCGCGGGGCTGGGGCTGACTGGGAACACAGAGCCAGAAGAAATCAGCCCTCTCCCTCTTGCCCTAGCGCCTGCTGCATCTCTGTAAAGTGCTTGTCATGCCGGTGGTAGGTGTGGGGGGAGACTTAATCCTCTGGTAGTAAGTGCTGTGACACCCGTAGGAGCTGATAGTGCCCTGGAAAACTGTAGCCCACAGGCATGGTGTGGGGAGGATGTTCATGTGTTTCATACCCGCTGTTGGATGTACCCGGCATCCATTCCAGGAAAATCAGTGGGATTTTGAGAAGTACGCTGCCCAATTACTATTGCAGCAGATAGTGAACCAAATAGCTAGTAACAGCAACTGGGTGTGGACTTTGCTCTCTTTTTAAAATTATTTGGTGTAGAAACTTCTACCATCTGTGATGGTAATGTAATATTTTAGATCTTAGTCCTCAATAAGACGGTCCTAGAAGTAGTAGGTTCACAAGTAGTGATTTTTTTTAAATAATTTTTTTTTAAAAACAAGTCATTATTTAAATACACTTCAGTTCCTAAGTGTTCTTCTCAGGCTGTTGTGCTAACTTTGGGAGGAGCAAATACTGGATGTTCTCAGTATTGATAACCAAACCACACTATTTTGGGAGTTCACAGCATATGCTGTTCCCTCACACCCTCTTAAACTTCCCATGGACTTTTGTCCTCTAGAGGGGAAAAAAACCCTGATGGTAGTTAGAAGATCCATAAGACCTGTTCCCATCCCACAAACCCCTTCCCCCACTTGCTCTCCTCTGCCTGCTCTCTGCTCCTTGCCACCATCACTGCCTTGGCTTTGTCATCCAGTTACTAACACATCTGCATCCACAGCTCTGGAGTGTTATAACATCTCAAAAAGTTAACATCCAAAAAAAGCCTTCAAGCTACAGAAATATCTTCTCTCTTGAAAATTCCTGCTTGGTGGTTGGGGTGTGGTTTTCTGGTAGTAGTTTGTTCCTTGCATGAGCTGCTGATAAAGCTTGGGGGAGAAAAAAGGAATATAAATAGCACTGAAGATGGGATAAGGAACAGCTATGCGGTATCCTCTTGCAGCACTGCCCGTAAGACAAACATCCTCACAGGGAGGAAAAAGGAGAGACCAACTGTCATGTCGTATAAATTACCAGGCTAGGCAAGAATGTATTTTTCCTACTTGTGGGGCATTGATCTGCTTTGTACGAATCGCCATCTGAAATGGCCAGAGAATTTATAAAGGATAGATGTCTCTGATAACAGGGCAAAGCTAAACATAAAGTGGCAGTAATTTCTGTACTGCCTGAGTTTTGGAAGCGTGCTGTAGAAGGGGAAGATACATTTAAGCTGATTTGGGAATTGAAGGGATAAAATTTGGGCTTTTCTTTTTTAAACTGTCCCTTGACAGCAACTAAATTTTGACTTGTTAACTAGTTTCATACTTAAGATACATCTGATACAGTAAATGCAATTATAACCCACTACAAACCCCCTCTGCACAGCAGGTTTTCAATTATTTTTTTTTTTTCCAGTTGCTGTATGGTCCGTTGGGAACACACACCTCTTGTAAGGACTTAAAAGTTCCCAAAGATGCTAGTTGTCTAGTCAATGTGTAGTATTTTCTTTGTAAATGAAGAAAGCTCTGCAACCTGTAAACATTTGTCAAGTGAATTATCGAGGGGTTTTTGTATTTTTCTTTTGTGTTCGGAATAAGCTTCATTCAGATCCCATCGCAGTCTGTACATATATAGAAAGAGTATGTATGTATATAGAGATGTTAAAGGCTACTGAACTATTGAATGTAAATAACTCTTGTTTTCCTTTGTGTTTGTTTTCTTCATGACCTTCCCAAGATGTATTCCTATTTTCTCAACTTGCCAAACAGGCAGTTTGTGTGTACTTTGAAATATATATAGCATATATAAACTTCCAAGGGATGTGTGCATACATTGTAGATGTTATATGTTGTCATCATTTTTTTTCAAAACTATCAATTGTCTGTCTTCCATGATCCTTTTGATGCTATGTGGGTTTATTCTATATTTTTAGTGTTTAATGCATTTTGTTGAGAGAAATGGATTTCCAGTGTCTTTCAGTGCCCGGTACTATTCACTTCTTAGTGCCTGTATAAGAGAGAAACAAATATTTGAATTTGCGTGTAGTTTGTTTTCTTTAGTTTTTTCAGTGCGTTTCAGATCTTGAGCTTTAATCCTAAATACATTTCCATTTTCTTCCTAGTATCTCTAATTGTGCATTCAGTGATCTCCTACAATACAAATTCTAGAATTAAATGCATCAGCAGTAGCACCTGCCCACTGTCCTAACAACGTCAAAGTTGTAGAGTATTTCCTGGGAAAGTTTTGAGCTTCGTGTAGTGTCTAAATGTGCAGAATAGAGGTAGGGGAACTTTCCTACCTCTGAAAAAATGGTGCGTGTTTTTAGTTGCCAGATAAAAAACGCCATATTTTTATATGAAAGTTAAGAGATTAATGAGAAATCCCCTTAATTGTCTTGTTTCTTATTTAGCCCTTAAGCTTTCAGCAGTTGTCACACAAGTTTTGCCCTTCCCCTCTTGCTGGGAAGGACTGTGGCCATACAGTTGTTTCCTGAATTAAGTGGTTTGCAAAGTCTGTTGACTGGAGACTCATGGCAAAAAAAGTCCAGCTGCAAATAGCGACAAAATACTTCTGGTAGTTTCTGTGGTCAGTCCGAGCTTTAACAATGAATGTGGAGACATAACGGAGGCGTTTTTGTCATGTACTGGCAGCTGCAGTGTATGGTTCAGTGTCACAGACTCTCATGGTAAAGACTGACAAAGTTGGCACAAGTAATAAAGGAACTCGACCGCAAACGCGCCTGGGTGCAGAATGATCCATGGGAAACCTCCGGGGCTGACGCTTCAGCTGAGAGCTCTGCTGGCCTCACTCGATGCTTAGGTTGTATATTGAGTTGGAAAAGCAACAACCCTCTTTTTTAAGGCGAAAAATGTTGAAGGAGGGAAGGAAAGACTGGAAATACCCATGTTTCTCAGCCACAGCTGAGGGCAGATTGCCTCTAAAAGCTGATGCTAAAGAGAGCAATAAGTAAAAACCTAGCAAGAACTTACTTGTTTCGCTATTAATTGGTCCAAAACAATTTTTGAGTGAATGAAACTTGAGGCAGTAATAAGATTCAAGAATGGGAACTGGACAGCTGAGGCCAAAACTAGTTTAAAGACACACGTAAAGGACGCTGAGGTTTATCCCCAGAAGATGTCTGTGCTGAGAGGGCAGCGGGACGCAGTGGGTCTGCTGTGCTTAAGCAGGCAGCTAAACCAACCCAGAGATACGTTCAGAGCCAAGCAGTCTCTTTTGGTTATAAAAGTTCTGCAGTGCTTAAATAGCCGAATCAACATGTTACGTTTTGTAAGTTTGACTGGGGTTTCTGAGCTTAGCTGCGCTTGGGGCCTAACTGTACCGAGACGGGTCACCTGTGAAAGAGTTTTCCTCGACTGGATTTGCACTGGGAAGCATACAGAGACATTTCTCCTGACGCTTCCAATTACACACATATTTATGTATCTGCTTTATGATTTGGAGAGAATAACCAGTAAAATGCCAGATTCATCGCAGGCACATAATAGCAGTTTTATTTGCCAAGTCGTTTGATCTATTTTTCAGTCACTGACATCAAGTCCCACAGCCGACTGAATTTTATTTGAGGTGGGTGTTCACTGCCCCAGCATCTCCCAGCAGTCCTGTGGAGGGGCTGCACCACGCCCTTGCAATAACTTTTGCTGTGAGACTACCTCTGTGCAAAGGACAGGCTATTTTTTTTAAAGTAGGACTTTTGCAGACTGCACCTATAATAGTCCAATGTCACAGAGCGCCACAGACACGTAACGTTCAAGATTAATTGTATGTCTTCTTTTTATTGCCTGCCCTAATTGGAAACCTTTGCCAACCTTAAAGATTTCATCCTCCAGCACAGTATTGTGCTGCGTGTCGCTGTGTTCTCCAGGGGAGCAGACAGTTCCTGTCCATGCCAACTGTCCTCACGCAGAGTGACAGAACTTTGAGTGCCTGGCAATAAAATTAATCTTTAGCAATGTTTAGAAAGATTTATATGCACCAAAATGGCAAACTCTGGAACATGATAAATTCTGTATTGAGTTCTTTTTTTTTTTAGTAAAAAAAATTTAAATAAATTAAACCGACTACTACTTTTTTCTTTTTTTTACCCCCTTTTAATTTTGTTGTGGAACCACGTAGGTTGTTTATACTGGAACACCTTCCAGCAGTACTTCTGCATCCATTAAACATCTTCATTGTCACTCCATTTTAGGATCCTTCAGACTAGCAGAAGTCATGTTTTAATAATCCAAACATCTTTTCTTTCAATCCTCTTAAATACCTGGCACTTACAGTGGTTAATATCACTGGTTAATTAAACTAGGTTTATCGGTAGTTAAGAGTAGATTCATGATGTTCTCTAAATGCTAATTGTAATGAGAGTTTATAAAAACTGTATCAAGATTGGAAAGTATCAACTTCATATTTTATGCAGAGTACGCAAATATCTTTATCCAAAGAGTTGGTTTGGGATA